TCTTCTCGCAAAGTCTAGAGATCAATGAAGTGGGTCGTCGAATCATCTCTGGCGACTGTCACCCGGCAGAGCGGAAAAACGATGACTTTACAACTCTCCAGCGGTTGTCACCCGACGGAGAGGAGCTGGATGGAGGTGGGGCGTGTGTCAGGGAGCTTCATCCTTAGGTCCACGCAGCAAGAGGAGGCTCTTCATCGCATCTGGTACGCTCTCAGGAGGTGGCGACTGGTCTCCCGGCGGATTGTCCTCTTCCCGACGACGGCTTGTTCGTCGATCAATCGGAGACGATTTACTCGATGGATTCACGATCCTTTTATCGCAAATCATTCAGCAATTTTAGTAGCAATGCTCTGCGAATCGCGTTGATGAGATTTTTGCCAATGATCCAGCGATTCTCGTTGCTTAATCCTTCACCGGCGATCTACAAGAAAGTCATGATAATCAGATAAAAATATATGAATTTTGACTCTAGGAGGATTCGAACCGGCACCAGTCACCCGCCTCTTCTGAGGAAGGTGTGACGGGGGTTTAGTCCCACATTGGTTATACGCCGATTTTTCAGGTGAATATATAGTAATGTTAGCTTTGTAAGCAAAGTCCCTTCTCTCGTGTGTACGACCACTCCTTGCCCCATAGCCAGCTGGCCATTGGTGACGTGGAAGGGGAGTGGCGTACGCGTGCCCTGTCGGTCCCCAAGCCAAGCCGCTTGAGCCTCTACTCGCAGCTTACTCCTCGACTGCGCTTCCAACCCACTTGCAGGCCCAGCTAGCCGGCGGGTCCCCCCTATTTTTACAATATTTTTATTTTTATTTCTTGTTCTTCATTTATCTCAAAAGTAAGACTGTAAAAATCGTATAAAATCACATAATTACCCAAAAATTCACATTAATCAATTGAAAACCAAAAATCATTCTTTAACACAAATATAAGTCTATTTATCGTGAGTTAAGACTAAAACTATATTATTTACTAATTATTAACTCATGATAATGAAGACTTATCAAAACTCATGTTGCCTAGAGAAAACATCCTAGTAGAAGAGCTCAGCTAGTTCATATCAAGGTGACATAGTAACCCAAAGGCCTCAGCCTATTTCAGAATTACTTTATGGCCCATTATGTTAAATTTCTCATCCTATTTTAGAATTTCTATTATGGCCTAATATCTTAATTACTTTATGGCCCATTATGTTAAATTTTTCATCCTATTTTAAAATTTCTATTATGGTCTAATATCTTAATTACTTCATGGCTCATTATGTTAAATTTCTCATTTTATTTCAGAATTTCTATTATGGCCTAATATCTTAATTACTTTATGGCCTATTATGTTAAATTTCTCATCCTATTTAAGAATTTCTATTATGGCCTAATATCTTATTTACTTTTATGGATTAATATTTTAATATTTATTACTTTCATAATTTTGAATAAGCCAGACAATGCATCTATGTAATGGATAGATCTGCTAAGACTTTGTGGGTCTTCAGCCGACTAGATCCATGCTGTCCAATGGATGCTTTGTTATAGAAAGGATTCACTGTTAGTCCACTAGGATATGGTATTTCATTTCAAGTAATAGAGTCACTATCTATTTCTTTTTATTGATTACATTTGAAATTAATCATATAGAAACATATGCAATATGCATCACACAAATGAATTATCTCATTGCAATCCAATAGTCCAAAGAATACAATTACTATTAGCTTTACTAATCTCCATAAACAAGGTATAGTGTCATCATGTGGGTACTCTGATAATCAACATAAAGTTAAGTCTCCTGAAGCCCTTAAAATGTGCTTACTCTTGTGAGCCAATAACGATAGTAGTGATGTGGGGGCCTAGGTGTAAAGCTAATGGTCACATCCTCCTGCTTATTGGGTGAAGGGATTGTTGAGTTTTGGTGGTATATAGGTTTTGAAGTTGTTAGTGTAAAAAAGGTACTAAGGCCAGTGCATACCTTTTAATCGAAAATGACAATGAATATTGTCAAAAAGCTGCCGAGGAAGCCACCTAAAATTTGGAGATTGATCAGTTAAATTTTTAAGTTTTCTTATTTTCTTTGAGAAGTGAGCAAATTCACTGGTAAGTGAAAAGGAAAGGAAGCGTTTCATCTTAATGACTAATAAAATCTAGACTGTTGTGATCTAGACTAGAGCTATAACGTCCTAGACTTGAGCGGCAATCCCATAGATCAGTGTTACGATTGCACCAAGCTTACGTTACAATGCTATTTCTCTGCACTATAGTTATTGAGTGTTAGTTAAACATTATGTGCTCATAGGAAAATGTTCAGATGACTCAAACAGAAAAAATTTCAGTCATTCAAGCTCAAGAAAACTAGAAAAAAACTATTAATAACACCAATAACTTGAGAAATTGTTTCCATCAGTCTTAAGATATTTTTGGGACGCCTCCAAGGAGTATCTAATATTTTAAGTGCCCTGCCCCAATGAATTGACGCCTCCAATTTTTAATGTTCGCATTACCTACTGCAAGAAGATGTGTTCAATGCTGTAAGCTTAAGCTCTGAACTTATTTCCATTGCAAGGGCATCTAATGCTGATAAGGTATCAGTAAGAGTAAGAGCGCAGTTAGCATATATAGGACTATAGATCTTAGAAAATAATCTAGCATTGGAACTCTTAGCACTTTGGTCCTCTAGAGAGGTGAATTTAGATGATATTAATTAGGTGCCTATCTAATTGTGCCTCTCAAGTTTTTAATCAAGAAGAGAGAAGTGTGGCTTGTCTAATTTAGCCTTTATCTACAGATATAGACACAAGTATTAGGCACAGTAGCGCCAAACAAACCTATCAATCTAGTAGAGACAGGTTGTACTTTTGTGTTGAACTGTAGTGAAATTTAAAGATAGTCAAAATTAAGGGTGAGGCTTTTAGAGAACTGAGTAGGCATAATGGTTCAAATTACTAAGAATTTAGGCCTTCATCATTCTTGTTCAAGGTCAACTTAAGTGGCTCAAGAATTTGGCTCATATTTCTATATTATTTTAAATCTACAAAAAACCGACCAATCTACCTCTATTCTTACTTCGTTTTCTACCCTCTCTGACCCAACATTGATGACAGAAGAGAACTCACTATTAAGTCATGGACCAACAAGGATAATAGAGAAGAAGAAAGGAGGGGAGATAAGTCACTTTTAAGTTGCAGGTCCTCGGGGAAAAGAAAAATAGGTTTATGAGGAGCCAAAGCCTATAACATGACTTCAGTTCAAGCCTTGGGAGAAGGTTGAAGAATGAACTGAGATGGGACCAATCTGACGCATGAGTTGACCTGCGTGAGGTAATGTTCAGTTGAATGCCAGATGGAAGGAAGCAATGGTAAGGACAAAAAAATACACAGACGCATAGACGGTTAGAGGCCGGTTGATATGATTAAATCCATAGTAATGTATACGTATGTAAGAGAGAAAGAGAGAGAGAGAGAGAGAGAGAGAGAGAGAGAGAGCGAAAGAGAACGAGAGAGATGGAGAATGTATGCGTGTGTCTGACACAGACACAGAGAGAGGGGATCAAAAGGAACGAGAGATGGAGAATGTGTGTGCGTAATACAGAGACAGATATAGAGAGAGGGAGAGAGTGAGCGGGATCGAAAAGGAACGAGAGAGATGGAGAATGTTTATGTGTGTGTAACAAATAGACAGTAAGACAGAGGGAGAGAGAGAGAGAGGGGTCGAAAACGACGAGAGGGATGGAGAATGTGTGTGTGTGTGACACAGACAGTCAGAGAGAGGGAGAGAGCGAGGAGAGAGAGAGAGAGAGAGAGAGGGAGAGAGAGAGAGAGAGAGGGAGAGGGAACGAGAGAGATGAAGAATGTGTGCGTGTGGGTGTGACACATAGACAGACAGGGAGAGAGGGAAAATGCGAGAGGGATCGAAAGGGAACGAGAGAGATGGAGATGTATGCGTGTGTGACACAGACGGACAGACAAGAAGGAAAAAGCGACAGAGAGCGAAAGACAACGAGAGAAGGTACGGAGAGACAGAGAGAGAAAAAGCGAGAGAGAGAGAGAGAAAGAAAATGAAAGAATGTGTGTGTGACACAGAGATAGGTAGACAGAGAGGGAGAGTCGGAAAACGAAAGGCAACGTGTGTGTGTGAGAGAGAGAGGTTCCTCCTGCGTGGCTGAAGTGGTCATTAACACCACAATGGTCCCGCATGTGAATAGAACGGCTGCAGCGCAGGCTGACACCTGTCAACTAGAACCCCCCAGGACAATCTCTGTTCGGCCATCCCTGGATGCGAAGAAACCTCCGACAGCCAGCGCAGTGCTGACGTGTACTTACAGAACCCGTCAGCAATTCGAGCTGGCTGTAAAGCCCCTCCACCTCGGATCCGCTTGCCCTGCTGCTCCTTTTAAAGAGGATGTTCGTTTATTGATACGGACAGTAAAATCTTTACCGAATTAAAATTATAATATTCTTCAATTGCTTATTATGAAAATTATTAAGTGGGCCGAGTTTTGTTGTCCATTAACGAGGCTTGTCAAAGCCACCTACTCACCGTAAAGCCCAAACCTGTTTCATAATTAGTTTATGGCCTAATACCTTAAGAAGTGGGCTTTGCGGCTGACGTTGCCCTAATTGGGTAAAATTGCTAATATTATCAGATGAGGGTTTTTTTGGAAACCCATAATTTATTTCTCATAATTTTTGAATTAAATTTAATTACATGATTCAATATTTTGTATAATAGTTAATACCAGGGGAATCGGCCGATCCTGTGTCGCGCGACTGGCTGTGGGTCACATGCTGCCATTAACTGTATCTTTCCTCTGGACTTCACGTGACAGACCCACCCCTCGTCCTCCCCGCCGCCCCACCAAAACGAGTGCCCAGGCCAGAGGCTAGAGACAGAAGAAAATCCCCCCAAGTGCCTCAGATTCCTTTCTCTCTCTCTCTCTCTCTCTCTCTTCCTCGTATCACAGTGGAGCTGGTCGCCGGGTTGAGGGGGGAGAGGGAGGAGAGGGAGGAGAAGATGTGCTACGTGGGAAAGGCCACCAAGATCTTCCTCGGGGTGGTGGCGGCGTTGACAGCGGTGGGCCTCATCCTGGGCCTCGGCGTCTTCCGCCACGGCCACGAGAGGGTCCCCGCCAAATGCGACGGCGGCGGCAGCGGCGGCGGCGGTGGCGGCGACGGCTGTGGCGAGCCGCGGCCCATATATTCCGACCCTCTGCCGGCCACCGGCGCCGGCTCCGGCGCCGTCGCTTCTCCCCCTCCCGCCGCCGTCTCCTCCACCCTTCCTCCGTCTGTCGTCAGCCCCCCCGCGCCGCCCGTCCCCGCCAACCCGCCGCCACCAGAAGCGAACCCTCCGCCGCAGCCCGCCGCCCCAGACAGCCCTCCCCCCCCGCCCGCCGCCCCCGACAACACTGCGCCGCCGCCTGCCGCCTCCGACAACCCTTCACCGCCGGCCGCCGCCCCTCCAGCGCCTGCCACGCCAGGATCCTCGGCCGCCTCGCCGCCGGATCCCACTGCCTCCGGCCTCCCCGCCGCCGCGGCCCTCGGGCCAGGCCCCTTCCTGCAACACAGGGAGCGGAAGAGCTTGTAGGGTAAACATTCTCTGTTACCCTCTCTCTCTCGGCCTCTTTGAGCTGTCTGTTCACCCCTTTAATTCATCAATGGTTGCTTTGTACAAAGAAGAGACCTTGCATCATTTTGTGAAGATTTAGTAGCTTTCTGTTCACGCTAGATTTCCAACTGTACCCTGCCTATCATCCCCGAAGCACGCCGAAGCAGTCGGGGTATTCTCGGGAAACTCGCCCTTCCTATGGGGAGGGGATATTATGGGCAGAATATTTCCCCATCAGGGGTGTTCTCGGAATACCTGGAAGGGAACTGTCACGTGGCTAGGACCAAACGCACCTCGATTATAGCCTCGGGCCGGCCTTAGTCGCCCTCATCATCACCAACCAGCCTTTATTCTCGTGGAAACAGGAATAGCCAACTCTTGTCTGCCTCACAGTCCCCTCTCCCACACCTTTTATGGTCAACGGTTTTCTTGGTCCGCCGGTTCGTCTGTTCCGATGCCCTATCAGCAAACCTTCTCGACCCGTGAAGCTGGGTCCGAAGAGTTAAGCCCGTAACAAGAATCCAGGGGAGGTGGTTCACTCGTGCGGTGAAAGATTCCATGAGTAGATACTGAAATGGCGAAAATGCCCTGCATCGAGCCTTGTCCACGAAGAGGTTGAGAGTAATCTTGGTAACGTTGCCGCATATGATGTTAAAATAGTTTTAAGGGAGAGAGGGAGAGAGGGAGAGAGAGAGAGAGAGAGAGAGCGAGAGAGAGAGAGGATTCCTGCCAACCATTTATATGCTCTTATAATACGCACGGAACGTTAGTGCCACGCATAAAAGAGCATAAATATTTTTAATTAGGAGGAGAATTCTCATTATCTTCGATAAATGAGAAAAATCCATTTTCTCCCTATACGAAATATACCATAAATGACTAAGCTGCACTAATTTTACGGATAATTATAGAAATACCCATGTTATATCTCTCTCTCTCACTCACTCTCTCGCTATTTATGTTCATAGGCCATTCCTTATTTAGCTGCTTATGGAGCATTAGGTTGAGTATTGCCAACTCTAATATTTAGACTCTTGGGGACAAAAATGGAATTTATTTTATTATCAATAAAAAACATTTAAATACGTTTATTGAGATTTTTTGACCTTTGGTTTTCGGTTCCTGTCAATTAATTTGATGGTCAGTATGGGCTGGGCTCAGTGTTGGCCCACCTAAGAAACCACGCGCTGAAGGCTGGTCTTAACAGTGGGTCTGGATAATGGTCTGAGCTGGGTGCCTACAGAGACCAGTGCGAAAGAGTATTTAAAAGGCCCATTTTGTATTTGGAGGCCCATTACGAGAAACATGGCCTGATGGGCTTTTAAATATTTAGGCCCATTTCATTCGTATGGGCCCATAGTGAGGGAGGGCGAGAGAGAGAGAGAGAGAGAGAAAGAAAGGGAGAGAGGAGCGGAGAGGGACGGTACACTATATGATTTTCTGGTAGAAGGGTACATTAGTATTACTCCTTGGCCTTGTGTGTGATGGCGTGGAGTACTTTAATAACAGCCACGTACCTCCTCAGCCGTGACTGATGAAGATGATGAAGACGAATGCTTATAAATTTGATGTACGTTAGAGTAGGAAGAAGTTTGAGCCTGTGGCTGCGATCAGAGGACGCTGGCGCGAATCTGCATCACCCGGTTGGGTCATCGTGTGATGTGCGAGAGAGAGGAGAGAGGGAGGGGAGAGAGAGAGAGAGAGGAGAGAGAGAGAGAGAGAGAGAGAGAGAGAGAGAGAGAGAGAGTTACTGAATCCGCTCTAGTTTTCAACTTGGTCTCTAACGTAATTGCGACGTTGATCGCGGAGAACGGCACCAAGGACTTTCTCTAAAAGAAGAGAGCCCAGTTCGGCCCCACCCTCTCTCTTTCTCCCTCTCGTTGTATGTATATCTCTTTCTCTGCGTGAAAGCCATGCTGAGTTTCGTTTGTTTACCAGTCTACGGTGTCCGTAGATATTTTTTGTTAGATTCTCGATTGAACTTTTCGATGAATAAATTTGAACAGGTGGAACTCTTCAGCGATAAATTAAAGTCAAGGACTAATTAAAATCTGGCAAAATAAAAAACTCAATCGACGACTAGGGATTTTCGTGTCAGTTTCGTCCAGAATTTATGGTTTCAGATGTGACGGATGATTATTTTAAGTTATCGTAGTCGATCGGAGCTGCGCAAAAACACCGACTTCAATTGATGGAATGGTTTGAAAATTAGCCCTCCTAAGTTAAATAAAGAGGCGAATCTTAGAAACTTATGTCTATGTATTTTATATGAAGTTGGGCCGCATATTTCAATGGGTTGAGGGTTCCAAAATAAGGTGAAAGTTGTTCAACAATAAATGAAGTCGAGGCAAGACCAGGTCGCAACAGCCGATTCGTCAAGCCATGAAGACTTTCCGGGAGGCCAGAAAGTCTACAGCTTGAAGTAGGTAGTCCATGATCTAATCGCCTCCCTGCACCCATCTTCGCCACCCCTCAAGCGAGTCATGGTGGGTTCGCTGTTTCCCTCCTTCGCGGCCGTTGCCGTAGTAGCCTTGCTGCACAGTCTCGCCGTGCCGCCAGCCTATTCACAGGGAAATCTTGCCTTCCTGCTATGCTCAGGAGCCAACTACACCGCCGACGGCCAGTACGAGTCCAACCTCCACCGTCTTCTCACCGAATTCAAGGCTGTGCCGCCCACCGCAGACAGGGGCCACTACAGAAACGCGTCCGTCGGCGTCGACGGCTTCCACACTGCCTACGGCCTCTTCCAGTGTCGCGGTGACATCGTCGCTGCTGACTGCACCGTCTGCGCCAACCGGTCCGTCTCGGAGGCCATCCTCCGCTGCCCACTCCGGCGGGGCGTTGCCATCATCTTCGATAACTGCGTCCTGCGCTACTCCGACCAGCGCTTCTTCGGCGCCATGGACGTTGGGGGGCTGCGTAGTTTTTATAACGTGAATAATGCTTCCGACCCGGCGTTGTTCGACAAGCAGTTGATGGAGCTCATGACCGATATTGTCTCACTAGCGGCGACAGGGAGCTCCCGGTTCGCTGTTGGGATCAAGAACTACTCGAGTTCCATCGACATATACGGGTTAGTTCAGTGCACGCGAGATCTCTCGGCGTCTGTCTGTGACGAGTGCCTCCGGTTTCTGCTTGGTAATCTAGTGAGGGGAGGGAGTGTAGGGGGCCAGGTCTACGCCCCAAGCTGCACCCTGGGGTTTGAAATCAGGCCCTACTTCTCTTTCTCCGTCGTTCCTCCGCCTCCCTCCCTAGCGAGTCCGGTGGAGGGTCCTGCACCAAGCGGTGGCACCAGCTTGCCCATCGGTGACCCCGGAAGCGAAGGTGAAGAAACCCTGCAACTTTGCTGTTACGACATCATTCTTCGGCGGACATCGATGGCCAGGGATGGCAATACTCACGGCTATCTACATATCACTAAGTACTTCAGCATAACCTTCCTAGATTCGCCATTCTTCTTTCTCCGTTGACTACTCTTTCAGCTCCTCCAGGAAGTTCCTCCTTTTCTTGTTTTCTATTTTAAGCAAATAACTGTCTGAGTCTCTCGATGTTGACTCCACAGCTGTCTTTCTCACGCCAAGGGTTCTTTCCGTCGGGGAAATTTCCCATTCCCTTAAACTGCTCTGTTCGATCTGTGTCCCATCCCCTCTACCTTTGGTAGGGTCTTCCTTGCCTGCCATCGCCCTTGGTGCCAGTCCCCGCATCCCTTTCGTTCCGCCGAGCTTCCCCAACCTTTCCCCAAATTGCGATGTCCACGGCGGTCGGCCTCCATCCCATAGAGCAGCAACCCATCCCAGTCTCCCCGGCCCTAGATCTCTTCAGTGGGATTGTAATTACCTCCATCCTCCTGCGAAAGCACCTCACACTATAACCCCTCAGCCTCGCAGGCTCTTGATCTCTTCGATGGGATTGCAATTACCACCATCCTCCGGCTAAAGCACCTCACGTTACAACCCCTCTGTCTCGCAGTCTCGTAGGCCCTTGATCTCTTCAATGGGATTGCAATTATCTCCATCCTCCTGCGAAAGCACCTCACGCCAAAACCCCTCGGTCTCGCAGTCTCGCAGGCCCTTGATCTCTTCAGTGGAATTGCAATTACCTCCATCCTCCTGCAAAAGCACCTCACACGACATCCCCTCAGTGTCCAACACTTGGTGGGTCTCTTCCTGGCTCAGGCGGGATTGTAGACAGCAAGCATCCATCGGCAAGGCAGACGCTTTGTTCACTGTTGGCATCGGTGCGCAGGTCACCGCCGTCGCCGCCGTTAGGGCAATCATCCCTCAATTCGCTTGTTGCCCCTCGTTGTGTTTCGAAGCACGATGAGGCCGAGGGACGCGCATCCTCTCGTCACCATCACTGTCACTGGCACCCCTTCTTGTTCTCTGTCAAATCATGAATTTCTCAATGGCCTTTTAACCCAGTCCTCTCCAGGTCTAGATTTATAATTGGAGAGTATTTCTTGGCTCAAACAGAAGATTTTTGAATTTCATCCTTTGCCGAGTACCTTGAAGATTTCCTTATCAAGCCGTCTGATATCCTTTCCTTTCGTCATTCCATCCAAATATCCTCGATGCTATTTCTAAATAAAGTCATTCACTCGTAGAGTTGAGTGTTCACTTTCTCCATGATAAATATCGCGATAAATGCAGTTATCACTAATTTTTAGTGGCATTATCAGTGTTACTATCTCACCGAGTTAACTACCTTCAAATAAATGAATAAAATTTAGTTTCTTACAGTGCGTTTATCTCATTTGGTTTGGTGGTTGTCTGTGGGTCTTGCAGAGAAGAAATCCAAACCGTCGAGAATCCTTGTTATAGTCGTCATTGCACTGGCTGCGGCCGTATTTCTCCTCCTCGCCGTAGTCATTTATCTACTAAGAAGACCCATGGGAAAAACTTTTCCGAGTGAGCAACTCATTATCTGTATAAGAAAAAAAAAGTTTAACTCAAGTCGAGTGCTTTCCTACAGTTCTTTGACCAATTTGATTTCATTTTCGTGCCCTTGTCGTAGATGATCCGGATGATATAAATGAAGACTCACTGCAGTATGACTTCAGAACGCTAAGAACTGCAACAGGGAACTTCTGCGAGGAAAATAAGCTTGGGCAAGGCGGGTTTGGGCCGGTCTACAGGGTAGTCCTTTTCCTAACAGATATTACTTTCTCACTTCCATATTTGCCTTCACCAGAATTTTGAGGCTTGAAGGTGTCTAATAACTTGTAGGGAGTTCTGCCTGATGGACGACAAATTGCCGTAAAAAGGCTCTCCAGAGGTTCAGGACAAGGGTTGACTGAGCTGAGAAATGAAGTGGTTTTAGTGGCTAAACTTCATCATAGAAATCTTGTAAGGTTGTTGGGTTTCTGCTTAGAAGAGGAGGAGAAGATGGTGATCTATGAATATCTACCTAATCAAAGCCTCGATAAATTTTTATTCGGTGAGCCAGTACTCGATATTATACTCTTCACGCAGTTCTGGCTCGTTCGCTTGGACTAAGTGTACAACAGTTTTTGGTTGCAGTATTCTTCCCTAAAATAATCCTTGTATTCGTACATAATCCCATTTTGTTATCCCGTTCTAATCCCACCCCTACCACTACAGAACAAACTCCTCTGATCCCTACGATGATGATCCATGACGTATTTGTATTACCAAGAAGTAATTTTTTTTCCTGAATTGGCAGATCCCGTGAAACGCTTGCTGCTTAATTGGGAAAAGAGACTGAAACTGATTGAGGGAATCGCTAGAGGGCTTGTCTATCTTCACGAAGATTCCCGACTCCGGATTATCCATCGAGATCTGAAAGCGAGCAACATACTGTTAGACGGAGACATGAACCCTAAGATTTCTGACTTCGGTCTTGCGAAGCTTTTCCGCGTGGATGAAACTCACGGAAATACGAACCAGATTGCGGGAACTCAGTGAGTGCCAATCTTTTCTATAGCCTTGACCACCTAGAGAATTTTGTCTTTCATTCTTTGGCTTACTCTTATGAACATCCGCTCCTTCATTGAAGTGGTTACATGGCACCGGAGTATGTGTTTCATGGCCAGTTTTCTGCGAAATCCGATGTCTTCAGCTTTGGCGTTCTAATGCTCGAGATTGTAACGGGTCGACGAAGCAGTGGCTTTAGAGAATCTGAGGATACACTTGACCTTCTGAGCCATGTAAGTTAGTTCGATCGTTTTCTGTTGTAGAAAGCGAGATAACGTTGTTTCTGTTGATCATTCGTTATTTTGTGAATAGGTGTGGAATCACTGGAATCAAGGGGCAGTGCTCCAAGTAGTAGACCAGAGTATAGCAGCCCAATGTCAAACAGCTGCGGTGATGAGATGTATCCACATCAGCCTCCTTTGTGTCCAAAATGACCCAATGACTAGACCAAACATGTCAGATGTAGCTCTCATGATGAGCAGCTTCTCGGTGTCACTTCGTGCTCCTTCCAGACCTGCTTTTCTTATCACTGGAAGTAATTCTGGAATGTTGCCGGGGGATGAAGGCTCGGAGTTTCACGATAATATTGACCTACAAAAGAAGGAAGCTGAATATGATGTCTCTATCTCTGATTTCGGGCCACGATAGTGGTACATCACTGGTTTATAGATGCAATAAGGCTGAGTCATAATCTAGCACTTATCAAGTAATCTTGAAAGTGTAAGTAGAGCACAAATGTACCTGCTGGCTGGCTCATGGATATACAGGAATCTGTTTCCCTATGTTTGGTGGTCTAGAACTCTTATTCAGTGGTGGAAAATTATTTCCTGATACAGTGTTTTCTATTCTTTAACTTTTTGAATGGGGCTTTCTTTGTCATCCTCATCAACCTCCCCTTCACCCCTCTATTGTCGTCTTACCTGAGGTAGCAGTGCAATGGAGTTATTTCGGAGCTCTTCTTGAAACTGCATTCTATGCTTATAGTTCAGATGACTATAGGCACGAAGCATTGTAGGAATCAAGTTGAGAATTATGATAGCTGCAATGATTTATCATACCCCTTCATCTATTAGCTAGATTCCTATTTTTTGATATATTTTCGTATAAGTTTTGTCCCAAGTAGACTCTTCATTTGACCATATGCTATCATTTTTTATGTCTCTATTTTGTAATATCAATATGTTAATTAAATTTCAAAGACATTTCAACTTAATAAAATAACATTGGGAGGTGACCGGTGCTCTGATAATAATATGTCATTGTGAATTAACTGTTTAAACATATTTACTACTATTTTTTTTAAAAAATATGTATAATAGTTTTAGCATTTGTTGGCCTTTGTGTTAAAATACTTTTTATCAAATATGGAGGCTAGTAAATGACAATAATTAGAGATATATTTTTATGGCTATTCGGTCAATAGTTTCCAATTTTGCTTATGTCTTGACATAGTGATTGATAAAGAAGTATGAAGGGGGTTTCTGAACAGATCAAATCAATACTATCATAAAAGCTTATTTTCGCAAAATATGATTCAAAATAGATAAAGTTAAACCAGAGTTGAAATATGATAGCACACAAATAATGCTTACACTAATGATAGAGTTGTTTTCATTGTGCATATGCATACAACATTGGGAGGCCTCAAATTAATTTGACTTAATTCCTTTGAATTTAAATTATTGAGAATGATTCTAATAATCATTTTATTGACTAGATATATTTAGGAAGAGAATTTTCAGAAAGCATTATTTTTCACATGTCCGACAGGGTTTTATTTTTCCTTTAAAAAGCTTCATTATTGAGTTTTTGAGTAAGAGAAATCATGCAAAACACCTTAGTCATCAAAACATTGATTAACTTTAAAATTTTAATATCTTCTCCATAATTAATCTTAATTTATATTTTTGGAACTATTCTGGTTCTCATCCCTGGAGACAAGAAAGTAGAGAGGTAAAAGAATCTAGAGAAGTCACCTGCTATTTTCAAATTGTTTTCATTTCATCCAATGCTTGGAACTTTAAAAGGCATAATCTTAATCTTCGATAATATCTCACCAGTTGACACTTTTTCACACGTCATGTCTTGAAACATCATGAATGAAACTATGTATGTTAATTATTGCTCAAATGGAAGAATATCTTGGCATGGCTAAGTGATGATCGCTAGAGTGAAGCTATCACTTGACTCCTTCACTATTTTCAGTTAGATTTTCTAAAAGGATAGTTTCCCAGGTATCTTTTACTAAGCTTAGAACTCTAGATGGAAAAATATTTACTTCAAATCTGGCCACTCTTTCACTTAATTCTCTGTCGCTATCCATTGTCTAACAAATCAATTTTGAGATCAAGCACTACTTATGGCTTTTGAAGCCTTGGCTTCAATGGAGCTTGGTTGTTTAAAGAAGTTTTGGTAAGGGGAGAAAATGTCCAAGTTTCTAGATGAGTAATGCAAGTCAGAGGGAGCTAAAAAATTTGGGGAAGAAAAATCTGTGTAAGGCAAAGAAGAAAGAATAGGGGGGTGTCAAGAGAACTAGTAAATGTTATATATCAAGTACTATGATTTGAAAAAAAACAGACTTTTAAGAAAACTCTATATGACTTTCAGAAAATTGAGTGCTCTGTGGAGCTTTTAATTGATATTTTTGCTCTAATCATAACATAAATGTGTTTTAATAATGATTGTATTTAACTTTGATCTCTGATTTAAACTGGGTTGAACAACGAATGCTTGTCAGTTCGAAATTGCTATTTTAAATTCAGTTTTCAGAATTCATTCAGGAAAGTTATATATTTCCTAAAATAAATAGAACTCTGATCAAATCAAATCTTTATGAGTAACACTTATACTCTTTGAGATCAAAACAATTTTTAAGGTTTATAATTTCAAACAAATACATTTTGCTATTGCAAAACTTACAGCTGTGTATAAATAAAATCGGAAATTTACTTTATATGTTGTGTTAGAAAAATTCTTCAAATTTACTATTCACGTAAAATCTGAAATTAATACAGCAAACCAGAGTCTTTTACTTCAGCCCCCTCGGCACCTCATGCAGCATCCGACTGTCGTTTCCCTCTATTGCCTGCCTTGCCTCCGGATCCTACTTCCCCCAGCTTCCTTGCCACGGCGCCCCTTGGGTCAGGCCCCTTCTCAGAGCACAGGAAGAGGAACAGTGGAAGAGAGCTGGTAGGCTAAATTTCTGCAACTTTCCCCCCTTCTTTCTCCCTCTTATCATCTCTCTCTCTCTAGGCCCTTTGTGCTGTCTGTTTTCCCCTGGTAGCCCTCAATGGTTGACAGTACAAAGAACAGACCTTGCTGCATCGTGGGACGACTAAGATCCTCTCAGCTTACACGCAGGCTTTTCAATTTTTCCCTGACTATGCTCTCCTAATCACAGCAGCTCTCAAAGTACTCCTGGAAATTCAGTGTCCAGATGGTGAGGGGTATTATGGACATAATATTTCCTCTAAAGGTTAGGGGTATCCTCGGAATGTCCGGAAGAGAAGCCGAGGCAGGAACTTCACTCGTGCTTGGAAGGAAGCATGGTGACGTCAGTTGGCGGTTAAACATACCCAATTTAAAAAATTAAATGGTCAAAACAACCCCAAAATTTGTCCAAAGAAGTTTGGAGTAATCTCTGTAAAGTATGCTCCCATATGAAGCTAAAATAATTTAGGAGAGAGAGAGAGAGAGAGAGAGAGAGAGAGAGAGAGAGAGAGAGGGGAGAGAGAGAGAGGAGGGGAGAGAGAGAGAGAGAGTCTCTGCTAACCATTTTAAAGCAATTGGAAGACGCAAGCAACTTGAGTGTCGCGAGATAATTTTTCTTTCTTTAAATAAATTTGTTCATATTCTATTAGATCCCATACAATTCTCAGAGAAAAAGAATATCTCATAAATGAAAAAAATCAATTTTCGCTCCACAATAATTATCATACATCACAATAGCTGCCCTAATTTTACAAATAACTATGTATATACCCGTATAATTTTTCTCTCTGTATATTTATAAACTGTGCCTTATTTGGGTGCCTAATACAGAGCTCAAAATTGCTATCTGGTATTCAGGGTCTTTTGGGAGGGGGGGGTGATTGTTTATGGGCTTTTAATATTCCGGCCCGTTTGATTCTTCTTGGAGGGATGGTGGTGAGTTTGAGCCATTCATCGAAATTCTGAGTGTTGCAAACCACGGGTTTGGGTTAGGGCCGAGCATTGGCGAATAGTAATTCAAAACGATTAGATTTGCCAGCGGCACGCAGAAACTCTGGAATACAGGCTCTGGGCCAGATCACTATGGATGAATGAACCGATTCAGTCAAACCAAACTGATCCTGGGAGAGTCTGGGGCCGGTGGAGGAGAGAGAGAGAGGAGAATTGCGCGCAACTGGGCTCTCCTCTCTAACACTGTAAACTGGGTCTGGGCTCTCTTCTTTCGAAGGAACTCTTGGTGCCGTTTTCTGCCATCAACGTCAATTACAATAGGAGACTGCTCTGCAAACTGGAGCGGGTCCTGTATCTCTCTCTCTCTCTCTCTCGGTTGTATCAATCTCTCTTAGTTTCCGTGGAAAACCATGTAGTGGTTTGCCGGTTTACCTCACTACCATGTTCAGGCGGAGGTTGTTGTCCACTGCCGACCGACACCCAGCATCGACGGCAGGATTGAAAGTAGTAAGTGCATCATATGTGGTGCTAAACTTTCCACGTACCGGAGTGGAGAGAATTGGGTTTCCTGAAAGTCGGAAAATTACGCTCCATAATTTTCCGGAAACTTACTCAAACTCCGTCAAGTAATTTTCATGCGCGTGTACTCCATTTTAATGCCATTTAAAGGCGATTCGATCCTTCGCGTTGATCGGCCAATGAGAAGGGGCGGTGCACTTTCGCCTAGATGCCTTCCAAGAGTGTAATAAACAAAATAATTTGTTCGATTTAGTTACTACGACAAACCTTCAGCCTCAGTCAACACGTTCACATCCGGAACCTCAAGCGTTGATTTTCCACTATTCGTGTACCAATTTACGACAGAATTCTAAGAGGGCTACATTTCAAAGCGTTTCCTCCGTCGAAGTCGCCTTCATTTGGGCACCTCCGGTCAACTAGGATCTCTGAAAACTCAGACCCGTCACATCTAGAACTAGACAAACGCTATAATCCCTCGCCATCGTTACAGTCAAAGAACTACACCGTTCAGATTCTTTTCAAAGCGTTCAATCGATATAATCGAGCACCCATCCGTACTACAGCATTTTGTCAAACAAAATACTTGATGGAATCGGGGGACGCATGAAAATTACTTGGAGTTCGAGAAATTATGGAGTGTAATTTTCCAAATGTCAGGAAACCCAATTCTCTCCACTCCCGTACCTGCAAAAATTTAGCAGCACATATGATGCACTTACTACATCCAACATAATTTGAGAAACCAAAGTTCTCAATGATAAATTCTTTCAAATCCTTGATTTCGGTGTCTCTCCTGAAGATATTTGGTGGTTGGAGCTGGTCACCTCCTTGAGAGCTATGTATCAAATGCATGTGAGAAACTTTTAGAGGATCTTGACTTTTACTTAATCACAATTACCAATAGATTTTTTGTACTATTTCTAACATTTCGGTCATTATTCACACCCTTACTATTTTTATCAAGAAAA